CGGGATCGTTACTGCTGAGTCACAGGAAGCAGGTGAACCGGAGCTTAATTGCCTCCGATTCGGGCTCTGTGTGTGTGTTCTGAGGGGCCCAGCCTGTATACCCCAGATCCACGTCAGCTCAGCATTGCCTAGTGATCATGAGCAAACAGCATTTAGACAGTTTACGGCTCCCTATGCCCGCGCAGTTGAAGATGTCAGATACTTGATCTCTCTGCGCCTGCCACCATGTTACATCTCATCAATGATATTCATGTTGCCCTTACAGCTTCCTGGCATAAGCAAGTTCTTGGGATTATACAAACTGCTGCTTCTGTTTCCAGTCCAGATTTCTAGAAATGAAACCCTGCCGCCGTCGCCTCCGTCTCTGGGCCGCGCTGACGAGCGCCGCGCTTGTCTGCGACCGTAGCAGAGCCGCCCTGGCCTCCGCAGCTCTTCAGCCCGGTGCCCGGCCCCAGGGGCCCAAGCGGCTGCCGCCGTGGCTCTCCGTCCCCCTCCTCCGGAGCACGGGTCCCCTGGCAGGGGGGTGCAGAACGACCCCAGAGCATGCTCTGCCCGAAGGTGCAGCGGCGAACAGGCCACCGAGACGCTCGAGGCTGCAGTCCAGCCTTCGGAGGACAGGGCTCGGCTTGCAGCCCAGCTCTAACCTCTAGGTGTGGCTGCCGGACAGTGTATACAGAGCCATCAAGACAGCAAGCAGAAAGCAAATGGCGGCTCCCGCCGAGTGGATTTTCGGCACAGAAACCACAGCCCCGCCAACAATCCCAATCCACAAACTCTCCCTGTATAAAAAATATTCAAAAAAAAAAAAAAGAAAAAAGAAAAAAAAGGCGGGGCGCACTGAGCTTTCTTTGCCTCGGGTACTTACAATCCACTGCTGATTACACATTCAGCTTCTCCGCCTGGAGCGAAGCGAAAGAGGAAGCCTGATTCTTCTCAATGATCATTCATCTTTCAAGCTCTGTCAAAGGGTATTAAGAGGAATAGTTTTAAAGTAAGCATTATTACTTATTGAAATTCATAGAGAACAATGTATAACAATGAATGACAGCTTTGTCAAGTTTCTCACCTGGACCATCAGAGAGCTTCAGTTACCCCTAGAAGTCACCTGCACATCCCTCCAGTCACTGTGCTCTCCTCTCCTCCAAAGAAGACCACTCTAATGTTTGTTGCCAAAGAAAGATTTGTAAGCTTTTGACTTTTATGTAAAATCATGCAGTATCTTCTCTTGCTGTGTCTACTTTGACTCCACATTGTGCTTAGAATTCAACCATTTTGCTATTTGTAGCAGAACTTCAATTATTATTATTATTATTATTATTATTATTATTATTATTTTGCTTTTGAGTTTTCTGCTGAATGACCACATGACCATGTATTGATAGAGTCAACTGACATTAAGTTTTGACACTTGTTGGCTTCCCAAATAATGATCGCATATATTAACTTGACAATAGCTTTTTGTACAAATATGTATGTATTTGTATCAGGTTTGTAATCCTTGTGCTTTTACTTTCACTCTCTTAATATGATATTCTTTCAGGTGTCAAATGTTCTTAATGAATCATAGCTCATCAACATTTTTGTACACAAAATACAACATTTACACCATGATATCATAAACACATTCTCCCAGATTGTCTTATATGTGCTTAGTTATTTTTCTTTTGCATATAATTGTACAGTATCTGGGGTTGATATTGTATGGTTATGTATGATGTGAAGAAAAGTTTCACATTATTATTTGGAGAGTAAGTTGACTCAGCATTATTACTGAAAGAACATTTTCCCACCACAAGGTCACCTTTGAGATAAACAGTACATATTTTCCTACTCATTCTATACTCTGTTCCATTCAATTCTGTAGTTTGTGTATTCTTACAGCAGTACTTACCTCCTTAATTATTATAACTTTTTAGCATGTCTGAGTAAGTTTTCTTTAAAGATTAAACTAATTCTTCTAATTGTGTAGCTTCTTTTGCCTAATGCATTACTCATACTTGGTCATATGCATTTCACATAAATTTTAGAAACAACTTTATATATATATATGAATGATGGAATTTAGGTTGACATTGGATTTGGACTACACATGAATATGGAGATAATTGACTTCCAAGGTATATCAAATTTCTCTTAGAGATTATACATAGCTTTTATGATGTTTACTTCTCATGTTTTTGTGTTTGATGCCATTAATGTGTCTTTTGGTGAAATATCCTAGGAATGTGTTCAAATTGTTTTCACCTTTATTTTTAGTATGTGTTTGGGGAGCTGGTTTTTCTTTTTTATTTCTTTCATTTTATTTGTTTATGTTAATTTGATAATTCTGAAAAAATTTCAAGGATAGTATAAAATTTCCAAGTAACCCTAACCAGATTTCCAAATGTCATTATTTTACTATATTCCATCCTTCTTCTCCATTTATGCCTAAATTAATCAAATCTTTCTGAATGAGTAGTTAAGAGTAGGTGAGTAGGTGGATAATGTAATATGTCCCATTACTCCTAAAATGTTATCAAGAATTTCATATATTAACACAGCATTGTTGCCAATTCCATAAATCCACCTTGCTGTAATATGATTATATAGAGTATTAATCTTGTTCATAATTTTACTAATTTTCCTAAATAAGTTATTCACAGTAAAAAATGTATGATAATGTACTGCATTCAGTTCTCATGTTTTGTTATATTTTTTACTATGAAACTCTTTAAATTTTCTTTGTATGCCATGGTAATGATATTTTTGAAGAATACAAGCCAATAATTATATGAAAGTTCTCACTTTGAGCTATGACAATAAGAAAAAAAATAAATCGTAATAAGAGAACTTGGAAATTGATGTTTGAGTATGTTCTATATAAATGAAAATTGGCTTTGACATTTCCCAAAGTAGAAATTTAAACTATATATGTTAGAAAAATTAAAATACAAAACATGTCTTTTTAAGTTAATTTCAATAATTTTTAGATCACATTGGACACATCTAGTGCTATAAATATGACCTACCCTGTAGCAATCTCCTCTCTATTTTCCAGTGGACTCCTTTTTACTTCCATATATGACAGAGGACTTGGGTACTTGTCTTTCTGTATGTGAACAGTGTTTTCCAGTACCATCTGTTTTGATGTAAATGACAGGATTTCAGTCTTCTTATGGCTGTATATACATATCATCTATACTTCATAATTTTTTCTTTCAGTGAGCACTTGGAGTGATTCCATACCATAGCTATTGTAAATAGTGCCATAACGAACATGGGAATGTAAGAATCCTGTGTTTCATAGTAAATGTAATCTTGGCGGCTATTGCTGCATAATAAATTTTTCCTGAACATAGCAATTCAAATAAAAATTATATTTTATTTTTCTCATGATTTGTAGATTCATAAATTTGGCAAGGGCTCTTGGCAGTTGCCTCTTGTAATCTCTCATGAGGTTGCACTTGGATCTCATCTGCAGCTGAGGTCATTGAAGACTTGACCAAGCTGGGAATCCAGGATATTTCATTCACATGGCTGGCAGTGTAAAGTTCACCTGGGGTTGCTGACAGAATCACCTACAAATGCTGTCTCCCCCATGGTAGTCCTTACAGAGTAGATTTCCCAATAAGCAAACATCCTACAAAGTCAAGAGGAGGAAGCCTGATTTTCTAAGCTAGGTTCTTAAGTCAAGCTGTTCAGGCTTCATCACATTCTATTGCTTATAGGCAACTCACCACTGTCAGTCCAGATTTGGGCCTAGGAGGAATGGATAGAGTGTGAAATTTTTTTGATATTTTTAAACACTATATGTTTATTAAATATCCTACTTTATGTATTTTCTATTTTTACTTCAGAACTATCAAACCAAAAGTCAAATGTTTTCTGTGATATGTGAAAGCTAACCTACAAAAAGAAGATGGGGCAGTGAAGGGAAGAACAGAAATGCAGTAGATTAGAAAATGGGCTATATAGGGAAGGGAGAGGGATAAGAGAAGGACAGTGGAAAGAATCTGACAGAGTTTTCCCAAGTGTATGCATGAAAACATCACAGGGAATCCCACCATCATGTACATCAATAAGAATGAAACTCTAACTAGAATAAGATATATTCCATGCTTGTATTATCGCTTAAAATGGATTCTTATGTCGCATATAACTAAAACGAGTCATAATATATTAAAAAATTGTGGCCCTAAGTACCTAAAACTTGTAGAATTTTAAGAATGTTAGGTTATCTCATCATCTCTCTTAGTTCCCTATTATATATTTTATCCTGTTGTATTTCTGTGCTTCACTCAGTATTTTCCCATGTTCTTCCACTTACTATTTCTATTTTGAAGAGCATCTACACTATTTTTAGACTCATCCACTAGTCCTTATTTTTATCTACTGACTTTTGAAAGTAACGCATGACTCTAAAATATTTATTGGATTTTTGTTAATTATTTCTCTGCCAAGATGCACATCATATGAAACCTTCAGAAAGGTATTTTGCCTCTTCTGTTCAGTCTAATTAGGGTAGATCACCTTAAGTAAAAATGATTGAAGTGTCTAGAAATGGGCACCATCTAAAAAAAACCTCTACTTTCAGTTCACAGAATGTGATGCAAGATTTCTGGATGTTCAACAGAATTCCACCTCTTTGGTCCAAACTAAATTACACATGTGTATTCCCAGGGAAATGAGGCAAACATGCTGATATTTTCAGAATCTCACCTACTAACTTTGAATGAAATATGGCTAAAGGGGAAAATACCTGACTCTATGTTTCACTTTTCTCTAAACTTGACTCTAAAAGTCTTGTTGCCTAATATGCACTAATATGTTCCACTTTCCTAAACTCATTCCTAGGTGTGTGCTTAAAACAAAAAAAGTCTAGCATAATAAAAAGCAGAAATCTCCATTAGAAGATAAGCTTTGAAGATAGAAATTTAATGCTCCTTTGCAACAGCTTTCACCTCAGATGTCATCACTAGCTACTATGTACTTTAATTCAGGTTTCTTTTCTCATTTGGTAGGAAACCAGACCCAGTTGCTGCCCCAGTATAATGACTCCTGGTCTGACCCAGCAGGCTCTGCAACCTCAGAGGGCCAAATTGCCAACTGCTTAGGTGAGCAAGGACCCCAGAACAAGAGCTTTCTCATTACCTGTGGAAATGCCCACTGACATGACCCTATCTCTCCTCAGACAGCAGACAGCTCCGCCTGGTGGACGGGGGCAGTCCCTGTGCAGGGAGAGTGGAGATCCTGCAGCAGGGCTCCTGGGGCTCCATCTGTGATGACAGCTGGGACCTGAGTGATGCCCATGTGGTGTGCAGACAGCTGGTCTGTGGAGTGTCCCTGGAGGCCACCATCTCTGCTCACTTTGGAGAGGGATCAGGGCCCTTCTGGCTGGATGAGCTGAACTGCACAGGAGAGGAGGCCCATGTGTGGCAGTGCCCTTCCCAGGGCTGGGGGCAACACAACTGCAGTCACAAGGAGGATGCTGGGGTCATCTGCTCAGGTCTGTGGTGCACACTGTTCACAGATAGGGGAGGGCAAGGGAAGGTCTGCAGGGTGGTGCCTGAGCTCTGGGGAAGAGGCTGGGCAGATGTTGACAGGGTAGGGGAGGAGGAGGCTCCTCTTACAATTCCTGTTATTTCAGCAGAGGAGAAGATGAGGTCCTTCCATTTTCTGCTGGAGCAACTGAGCTTCAGAACCTTCCTTCTCAACACTGTCCCCTGTCACAGTCATTCTCTACAGTGTCCAATTAAAGCAGCCATCACTCTTCTGTGACCTGTGGGTGCAACATCTTGACCCACTGAATTAGTTTTCTATTTCTGCTGTAACAAGTTTTCATAGATTGAGTGACTCAAACAACACAAATTTATCATCTTACAATTTGTAGGTTAGAAGCCTGACCTGGGTCTGTCTGGCCTATAAACAAGGTGTGAGCAGGATGTAACAGCTAAAGCCTTAGGAAGACTCATTTCCTTCCTTTTGGAGCTTTTAGACATTGCCTGAATTCCTTGTCTCATGGCCCCTTCCTTCTTCAAACCAACAGCAGTGCAATTCTCTGACCATCATTCCATGAACACATTTCCCTCTGATGAGGGCTAGAAAGAATTATCTACTTTGGGGGATACAAGTTTAAGGATATGATTAGATTGTGCTCACCTATGAATCCAGGATGATACAGGATAATCCACAAAAAGATTCTTTACTTAATTATGTCTACAAAGCCCTTATGCAATGGGTAAACTATTCACAGACTCCCAGGATCAGGGAGTGAGCATATTTGGAGCTCCACTGTTGTCCACTCTGTCAGCCATCTTTTTCTATGGTCTGTCAGATGATTAGTCAGAGAGTAGATAAAGAGTTTATTTACAGCAGAGCCCCCAGGTCAAAGTTACCACCTATTGATTTGCTAATATTACATTTGTGTAAAAACAGAAAGAGCAGTAAAATTTAGCAAAACAGGTTAAAGCGTAAAAACTTCCATTCCTTCACCTAGTGGGCACTTCCTCAGCAGAGTCAGCAATGAGCACTCACTATTTAGGAATAAATGAAAAACAGCAATAAGAGTTCAGTGCTTACTTAGCCCTGATGTCCCTCTTTCTATTTCAGAGTTCCTGGCCCTCAGGCTGGTGAGCCACGACCAAGAGTGTGCTGGGTGGCTGGAGGTTTTCTACAACAACACCTGGGGCAGTGTCTGCCACAGCCCCATGGAACCCATGACTTTGTCCGTGATCTGCAGACAGCTTGGCTGTGGGGAAACTGGGACTCTAGATTTCTTTATTCCTTCCAGGGAAGGTTCTAGACCTTCCTGGGTGGATGGAATTCACTGTCAAAAAACTGACACCTCTCTCTGGCAGTGTCCTTCTGACCCCTGGAAACACCAATCTTGCTCTGCAAAGGAGGAAGCTCATATCACATGTACAGGTGACCTACTGTCTACTTCTGTGTGTTTGTCCTATACCTTTAGGTTGTTGTCAGGAAAGGTTCATATATGCACACATAATGAATGAGTTGAAATAAATCCAAAGAATGAATACTGGATAGAGATTACTTGACCCACTTCTTGAAATTCTGTTTGAAAGGCAGGTGCAAGGAAACCTGCGATGATAGCACTTTATATGAAAAGTACCAAGAGACTGAACTGAGTGTATGGGAGCATAAAGTTATACTCTGATGAATATTCTTAGCAATTACCTAATGCAGTCTTAGATTATATTAATTAATCTGTATTTCCTTAGTGAGAGGGTGAATGATTAGACCTCAGTAATACACATTGCTTGCTAAGTGCTATCAATTTTTTCCCACCAACACAATCAACTCTTGATAGGTATCATGGTGATCATTTATTTCTGATGAGGAAATTCAGGTTTAGAGTAAACACTTCATCTTCCTCACACTTTCAATTGAGTGAGTGACAACTTGGGGAATCCAATACAATAGGCTGTTTACTCTGGAATCCACTACAGATTAGTTTGTTGATGATACATAATTGAGGGATTTATAGGTAAAAACTTAATTCCAGGCAGGAAGAGAGACACAAGAAGAAAATATTGTGCATGCTCTCATGGAGTTTACACTCTAGCGTGACTACACAACCACACATAAATTTGAGTGTCATGAAGGCATGGAAGGTGCTGTGCAAATATGTTCATTGAGGAAGACAGCAATCATATTTAACTTGAGACCTAAATAAGGTCCAATGCACAAGAACATAGAGCATTTTGTCAGTGTAACTACTGAGGTGGTAGGAGCATGGTGGCCTTGAGGGACTGATAAATTTTATCATAAGCAGAGCAGGAAGAATGTGGGGAGAGTGATACCTAATTACCTGGATGGGTAAGAGGAGCTAGAGGCCTCTCAAGGCATGGCACCAATAACAATACGGTTGAAAGGTGTTTGTTAGTCATTTCATCAGCTACATCATGTGGAAGTGCTATGAAATGAGTAGCCTGGTCTCGCTTTATTTTCTTCTTGAACTGATCGCCTCATAGTCTCAGTGGACTTAATTGATACTCTCTCCTATGAGCTTTTCCCATATGCTATTGAAAACTAACATGCCCACTTCATCCCTCTCTCAGAAAACATTCCATGGTGCCTGTTGTAAATTGGAGGCTACCATCTTCCAACTAATTAAAACCTATAACGTCCACTTCAGTTTTGTGTTTTAATAAAAACTTGGCTGTCTTCTGAAAACAATGATGTCCTTATCATTTAGAGGCTCCATGATTCCCTTTCAACAGGATATTTCTGGGCCAAATATTGTAATAAAAATATTTCTGCTTTCTTTTGTCATTTTAAACAATTTTTGACATTTTTTTAAATTGATCTTCTTTAAAAATAACTGACAGTGGAATGCATTACAATTCTTATTACACATATAGAGCACAATTTTTTATATCTCTGTTTGTATACAAAATATGTTGACACCAGTT